ATGTTTGTTCGGTGTGGGTCTTTCGGTTCGGTACGCATGTGTACAACTTTGGCACCTCACAGTCATTGAGTCGATCATGACCTCCTCTGTATACCAAAGTATTCTAGAGTCAAATATGAGGACATCCGTCCAACAAAGCTTGGCCTTCGTACCGAAAATGTTCGGTGTGGGTCTTTCGGTTCGGTACGCATGTGTACAACTTTGGCACCTCACAGTCATTGAGTCGATCATGACCTCCTCTGTATACCAAAGTATTCTAGAGTCAAATATGAGGACATCCGTCCAACAGCTAAAGCTTGGCCACGATTGGGTGATGCAACAGGACAATGATCCCAAGTACAGCAGCAAATCTACAACAGAACAGCTGAAAAGAATCAAGGTTCTGCAAAAGCCCAGTCATAGTCCAGACCTCATCCTGACTGAAATCATGTGGTGAGAGCTGTGTATAAACAAATGCCCACAAACCTCAATAAACTGGAGCAACGTTGAAAAGAAGAGTGGGCCAAAATTCTTCTAGAACGATGTGAGAGACTGATAAATTCATACAGAAAATGATTACTTCGAGTTATTGCTGCTAAAAGTGGATCTACTTGCAAAGGAATCATAAGGTGTCCTAACTTTGTCACACATGGCTTTTCCATTTTGGCTTTATTTTTGTTAATCAAATAATGGCGAGGTGTGATATTGTTCATCTGAGGCTTTATTTCCAAATTTTAAGACTTTCCAAGGACCAGATAATTTTTTATTATCTCCTGATACAGAAAACCATGAAATTCAATAGGGTGTCCTAACTTTTTCACATGAATGCATATATATATAGAATATCAGTTTTCCAGCTTGACAGAGGCACAGAATGCAAAAAAAACCAAAATGATAGAGAGTCAGACTTTTATGGCTTCCAGCTTCACTTTCCCACCTGTGTTTTTTGGTCCACCAGCATTACAGCATGCTAAAGCAGCAGGACCTGAACATGGCGTTGATGGTGATGTCTCGTGAGGTGTTCAGCGCTCTGTCTCAGTCTGTGCCGTGCGTGGGCTGCCGGCGCAGCGTGGAGCATCTGTTCTCTCAGCTCACGGACTCTGGATACTTCGCACTTGAACCGCTCACTGTGGGATCCTCTGGAGTGCTGTCAGTCACACGGGTGTGTCTCACAGACCCCAGGAAGCTCTACACGCTCTTTTATGTTCATGGGTAAGTGTTACATTTGCCTCAGACACACTGAAGTCCACATTAAAATCAAAACTGACCCCATTTACTTTTTATTAAATGTTTCTGGTCTTTTTGTGTGTGTGTGATTTGCACTGAGCAAGTTATTCCAAAGAAAAACTTTTTGTAATTTTTCTTCAAGGTGGAATGATGGGCACGGAAAATATTAACTATTAATCATCATCATAGCCTGACAATCCAATGAAATTAAGCTTCAACCTTTTTTTTTTTGTCTGTTTAGTTTGTTTTCTTTTGCCTATATGATTTAGTTGTTGTTTTTCATTCTAATATGTGTGCTTTGTCTTGTTGCAGGTCAAAGTTAAACAACGTAATTGATTCCATTCCCAAGAGTAAAAAGAATAAACGCTGTCAGCTGCACTCTTTAGACACGCACAAACCGAAGCCTTTAGGGTGAGTCAGTAACTTGGTTTTTAATTATCATGTGACATTTGGTGTTTGAGATGACAGTTTCTTCTTTTGTGCTTCCGTGACAGCATAACCAAAAAAATTTTAGCAATCAATTTAGGAATTTTTTAGGAATCAATGAAAATATGAAACATTTTTAGTAATACTGATAGTGGTCAGGGTCTGAAATTAATGGGGGTTTAGGGCAAAAATGCCACCAAAATGAACAAAAATGCCTCCCAAATTCAACATAAGGGGTCAAAAACTGCCCATACAGAAATAAAACGAAATATATTACTTGTACTGTATTACAGAAACTGTTAAAATGAATAAAATTAATAAAAATGAATAATCATTATTACATTATATATTACAAGAGGGCGATAACCAATAATGACAATGATTTTTGTCATAATATTACAGTTCCTGTTTGTTTCCATTTTATATAGACCAGTTTTATGTAAGATGAGAGAACTTACCTTGATCACATAACATTATGCAATTGTTGAATGCATAAGCAGTCTGTGTGAATAAACGCACCATGTCAGATGCATTGGTAACAGCCTATACTGAATTAATTTTATAAATACAGTTATTTGACATAAAAGACAAAACCGATTCATTTAATGAGGTAATTATAAAAATTGAAAAAATTGAAAAAAAAAAATGCCACTGGAAATTAGTCCTTGGGAAAATATTGCCCTTTAAGCACACAAAAAGTACATTTCTGATCCTGGTAGAGATGTAAGTGACCGTATCAGTAGGTTGTTTGGTAACCATGGTTATGGATCCGCAGGGGCAGCTGGATGGACGTGTGGGAGCTGATGTCACAGGAGTGTCGTGATGAAGTGGTTTTGATTGACAGCACCTCTCTGCTGGAGACTCTGGAGACGTACCTGCGCAAACACCGGTGAGAAATTGTGATCTTGTGACCTCAACTTATTTCTCTTAATTGGCTCAGTGACAAAAATGTATTTTATTGGTTGCCTCTTTTTTTTGATTTTCAATATCATTCTCAGGTTCTGTACGGACTGTAAGAACAAGGTTCTGAGAGCGTATAACATCCTGGTAGGAGATCTGGACTGCAGTAAAGAGAAGGGCTACTGTGCTGCTCTGTATGAGGGGTTACGCTGCTGCCCCCATGAGCACCACATTCACGTCTGCTGTGAGACTGATTTCATCGCACACTTACTGGGCCGAGCAGAACCAGAGTTCGCTGGGGGTTATGAGTGAGTGATCCAGTCCTTATGGAGTTTGTTTGATGCTGTGTAACGAGCATTAAAGTCACACCATATCATCAACTGGAAATTGGATGCATTAGCTATTCTGTTATCATAGATATACCTTCATAAAGAATGTGTGGATCATTTACAGGCGTCGAGAGAGACACGCGAAGACCATAGATATCGCACAGGAGGAGGTGCTGACGTGTCTAGGAATTCATCTGTACGAGCGGCTGCACAGAATCTGGCAGAAGCTGCGAGCAGAAGAGCAGACGTGGCAGATGCTCTTCTATCTGGGCATTGATGCACTCCGCAAAAGCTTCGAGGTAACAATCTCATGAGCATCATCTAATTCCCAAATGTTTCTTTCCATCAGTGGGGTATAAATCCAACAGTTAAAATCATTATAAACAGTATTATATTTTCAACACCATTTAAGCGGTATATGTATATATTTTGCTGACAGGTAAAAAATAAGTTATATTTATATAAATTCAGTACAAAATAAAACTGATTGTGTAATATTTTTACCTTCTGATGGTATGCCTCCTCCATTTATTAACATTTTGTTGTTTGACTTTATTTAGTGAAGGAGTTTTAGGGCCAGATTTACTAACAGCTTGCATCAGCGCAAAAGAGCCGTTACAAAAATTACTGTCAGAATTTACTGAAGACACGCAGTGAAACCTTTGTGTTGAAAAGGCATAGACAGAGTAATTTTTGTGTCTGACCTTACTGCGTATGAATTTGTAGGAGTTTCCCATTCAGATGCATGATTTATGGCGGGAGAGTATTTAAATGAGTCATGCAATGTAATTTATTGGTATTTGCATCATTACTAAACACCAGTTTGATTGCATTGATCATTATGGATATGTTTTTTTTAATTTGCGCATTGTCTGTAGATCCACAGACCTTTCCACTCCCGTCTGTGCTTTTATGTAATTGCACGCTCACACTAATTTGCCCTTTTTAGTAAACCTGGCCCTTAATTCCTATTTTGTACTTCTGGAAAGTGTTGTATGTTATAATGTGCTCACTTGATTTATGTTAAATGATGTGCAGATGGCGGTGGAGAGGGTTCAGGGCATCAGCCGGCTGGAGCAGCTCTGTGAGGAGCTCTCAGAAGAGGAGCGAGCCAAAGAACTCAAACAGGAGAAAAAGAGGCAAAAACGCAAGAACAGACGCAAAAACAAGTGTGGCTTCGAACAAGAGGCGGAGGGGGAAAAAGACAAAAGTCTTGATGAGGTAATGACTCATTTAATGTGTCTCTGTTCCTCTTCCGAAGTCTCTTCTGCTCACCAAGGCTGCATTTATTTGATCAGAAATACAGTAAAAACAGAAATATTGTGAAATATTTTTACAATTTAAACAAGTTTTCTATTTGAATATATTTTAAAATGTAATTGATTGCTGTGATCAGAGCTGAATTTTCAGCATCATTACTTCAGTCTTCAGTGTCACATGATCCTTCAGAAATCATTCTAATATGCAGATTTGCTGCTCAAGAAACATTTCTGATTATTATCAATGTTGAAAACAGTTGTTTTTGTATATGTTCTTTTAAAAGAACAGCATCTATATGAAATAGAAGTCTTTTGTAATATTATAAATGTGACCCTGGACCACAAAACCAGTCATAAGGGTCAATTTTGAATAAATAAGCTATCCATTGATGTATGGTTTGTTAGGATAGGACAATATTTGGCTGAGATACAACTATTTGAAAATCTGGAATCTGAGGGTGCAAAAAAATCTAAATATTGAGAAAATCGCCTTTAAAGTTGTCCAAATGAAGTTCTTAGCAATGCATATTACTAATCAAAAATTAAGTTTTTATATATTTATGGTAGGACATTTACAAAATATCTTCATGAACATGATCTTTACTTAATATCCTAATGATTTTTGGCATAAAAGAAAAATCAATAATTTTGACCCATACAATGTATTTTTGGCTATTGCTACAAATATACCCCAGCGACTTAACACTGCTTTTGTGCTCCAGTGTCAAAAATGTCTTTACTGACACTTTTGATTAATGCGTCCTTGCTGAATAAAAGTATTAATTTCAATTAAAATTCACTTAAATTGAATTAAAAATGTACTTATTTAAATAGTATAGCCTAAATAATAATGTGGCTTTCAGTTAGACTAACTGTATTGAATGTAAGATATATTTACAATAAATACAGCAAAAAGAAACGTTGTGAAAACTGTTCTGTCAAGCTGATAAAAAATGTAGTTATTTGCTGCGCAACATTCTTCTTGAATTCCTCTGTTTTTCACCCTCATTCACTTCCTCTTTGTCTTTGCACAGGGTTCGTCTGAGTCTGTGGACGGCGGCTGTAAGTCGTGTGGCAGTGGAGAGGAGTCAGTCGGCAGTGTGGAGGTCATCATCACCAGCGTGAGTTCATCCTGCACCTGCTCCGCCGCCTCCATCCTGCATTCCCCCAAAACCAAGAAAGGTAAAGAAAGCTTTTCGTTTTCTTTAGTAATGGAATTATGCATAGAAGTTACCCAGAATGCACCTGACTGGTGAGTTTGTGTCTGTTTGTTCTTCTAGCACTCTTGCCTCACAGTAACGGCAGTGACTGTGGTTACTGTTCCAGTATGGAGGGCAGCGAGACGGGATCCAGAGAGGGCTCAGACGTGGCCTGCACCGAGGGCATGTGCAACCATGATGAAACAGGTATGGAAATAAATGTGGCAAATATAGAGGAGTCTTTATTATTATTGATAAGTATAAGAGTTGATGTTGTGATGGGTTGGTCTGAAGGGCAACAAAAGTAAATAACTGGACACAAAATATTGATTTGAGGTGAAATGTTTTATTAGCTCACTAAACACAAAGCTTCCAAGAAGACATAACGTTCCTAGCAAATGGCCTTGAGCCGAGATGAACAAACAAGTTCAAGATGAACATTTAAGGGATGATGTACAGTCATATCACTTATTACACATATTATTACTGCATAAATAATGATGAGGATATGAAATATTGATTTGAGATTAAACCGTTTTAAAATCTTGCCTATTTATTACCTTACCCATTATAATCCATTATATACTGTTAGCAAAACAAATGTTCTGGCAAGGTGAACACTACAGCAATGTTACGGTATTTTCAGTAAAACTGCTAACTGTTATAAAAATTAAACAATAATTCAATCATAATATTTTTATTATTTAATACATTTTTAGAATAGACCTGGAGATTCCCTAGTAAAAAGTATAGCCCTGTGCCATAATTTAAAAAACATTTCATATTAAGTAAACTTCAAACCCATTAATATATCTATTGATAGATCACTTAAGACTTACTGATAAAAATGACTGTATAATTAAACCCTTTTTGGAGTGTTTCTTTATTGCAAGATGCGCATTTCTTAATATTATGCCTTAAATGTGTTTTAATATCAGATGATCTCTGTATAATACCAGATATTTAAAGTGTACCTGAGGTATAATAGCAATAGTTCCACTTTAGCACAATCAAATATACTTAAATAATATCTATATGTTGGACATCAGCACTACTTCTGCACAATTTAAGTGCATTAAGCACAAAATTTAAAATACGAATGCAGGGTAATTTTATTGAGTACATAAATACCTAAATGTATTTGTAGTATACTTGGCACAAAATGAATGTATTTTAGCTTAATTTTAGTTTTTTTTTTTTTCACTGGGGTTACCTTGTACATATTCCAAATACATTGAATATGTATTTGTTAATCTCCAGATCTATTCTAAAAATGTTTCAAGATTTCAGACAACTCTGTACAGCCAGCCAATCAGATCTGAGCTTGCTGTTGTGCCATTTTTATGTGCAGCCAGGATCATATATAGAAGATTGCTTTGATAGACATTTGATAGTGATCATATTTGTGGTTATCTCCAGGTGAATACTCATGTAGTCACCGCTGCTCAGAGGAGAAGGAAGAGGATGCTGTGGACAGCTGTGTGGAGTGCTGGGCAAACTCAGAAGACAACACAAAGGGCAAAAATAAAAAGAAGAAAAGAAAAAACAAGGCGTCACTTTGCAGGAGCGAGCATGTGAGTTCACACTTGTTTTGGACAAAGTAGCCAAGTGCTTTCTTATGGGTTGCTTCAATTAGATGCTTCTCAGGTACATTTACATTTAGTCATTTAGCAGACGCTTTTTTCCAAAGCGACTAACAAATGAGGACAATGGAAGCAATCAGAATCAACAAAAGAGCAATGATACGCAAGTGCTATAACAAGACTCAGTTAGAATAATGTCTATCTACATGTACACGTAGCAAGTTTTTTTTTAAAATTATTATTATATAATAAATAAAACGAAAACAGATAGAATAGAAAAAGAATAGAACAAGCTAGTGTTAGAGGCCTTTTTTGCTTTTGTTAATTGTATAATAAATAAAAAGAAAACCAATAAATAGAATACAAATGGATTAGAGAAGCTAGTGTTATTTTTATTTATTTTTTTTGTAAGAAAACAAGCAGTTAGTAAATGAATAGAGCGCAAGTCTAAAAGGGACAAGTTTTTTTTTTTTTTTAAAGAATAGAGAGTGCTAGAGAAGTGATTTTGTGCCTCTTTGGGATGAACAATAAAGCGACGTTCACTTGCAGAACACATGGTAAATTGATCTTGTTGAACAACTGTTTTTATTTATTTTTATTATTATTTTTATATAAGCCGTCACTGGTTACATAACATAGCACATATATATCATAATAAAGAGAAAAAATAAATGAATTTATAAAGACAAATAAAAAATAAGGTAGAAATATATATATCTCATCTGATTCAACAACAATCAAAATATTTAACTGAAATATTAGTGTTGTATTAAGTGATGCATGCCATCGAGTCGCAGGTTGTGATCTTTTCCTGTCTCTTGTAGGGATCTAAAGCAGAGGAGAGCTGTGTGTCTGACGGCAGTAGGAGAGGATCTGGATCTCCTGCCGTTCACAAGTCTCCCTCCCCTTCACCGCACCCCTGCAGAAGCAAAGAAACTCCATGCTGTGAATCCTATGAGAGCTTCAGCCATCATGTGAGCAGCAGCAGACACTTCCACAGTCAGCCTGTCTTACCGGACACCTGCGCCAAGAGCCTCATGGAGTTACTGGTGAGTCTGATAGCTGATACCACAAACTGTCACATTTTTACTATTATATTATATTTATACAATGATATAATCATTATGGGCTCCAATAAGGCATTTATTTTATTTTTTTTGCCATTTCAAGAAAGACAAAATATTTAGGTTGTGAAATTAAAGCTCATTAAAACTCTTCCCTCTGGGCAATCTTTTACCAGAATTAGCACTATCTAAAGTTCACTTTTATTTTTCTCCCAATAAACGATGCTTTTTTTTTTCCACCAAATGTTTAGATTTTATAGAATGTGTATGCAAAATGTGTTTGTAGTAGCATTACTTTTGCTGCTGATTGATCAACTAACCTACTTTGTAATATATTACACAAAGTAGTGTGTATTTCATGGATTGTGTTTAACACATAAAAGAGTGATCATCACTCTGGGTATCAGAGTCAGATTATGAAAAAATGGTATCGGTGCATCCCTACTTTTAAATGAGCTTTTCAGTTCATTTTAGTTTAAGCTTTAGGAGTTTTATGTGCTTTTGTCATTCTCATTACTTTTTTTCTTTTTAAATATTTCCATATAGCTTTATTTTTTTACATTTTTAGTACTTAAGATTTTTTAGAACTCCAACTTTTCAGTTCAAGGCAACAATTTCTGTTTGTTTTAGTAATTAGTTTATATTAGTTTTTGGTGTTTTTAAATGTCCATAATTTTCATTTTAGTTGTAGTAATACGAATTTTTAACCTTTCGACAGTTGCTAAACTTAATTTTTTTTTTCAGTTAGTTTCTCAGAAAGCAATTTTTAAGTTTTTCATATAATAATATTTTATTTCAGCTCCGAAAAAGATTTTTAATATTCAACATTAACAACAATAAGTTTGAGCCGCCTCTTAAGTCTACCTCTAATAGATTGACACACTCAATATTAAAATATTGCTGTAGAATGTTGAACAGTGATAGACTGATGATCAGTGATTTAAAAAAAAAATATTATAGTAAATAGTACATCAAGTTTTATATTAAATATTAAATTAAAAATGTTATTTGATTACAGACCTCTAGAATGTATTCCAGTTTAATAATGTACTCGTGTCAGTTAATTAAAAATGAATTGTGAAATTGTTTATTACTCACCGCTGTTTGTTTATTGAAATAGTTGCAAGTAGTGACTTTTTGCTGTAATTTCTTTGTGCACAGAATGAATCTGAAGTGACCTCAGATGAAGAGAACTGTCTGACGCAGAACGAGATCCAGTCGTTCGTAGAGAACAACAAATCATTCTACCGCACACGAGACAAGTACAGACAGCACCTTAAAGATCGCTTCACCAAATACTGCCGCGGAGAGTGGCTCCAGGCCACCAGCGTCAACTAGACTCACCGCCGCACACTAACTCACACTTATTTTTATAGAGCGTCAAAACATTCATGATCACTGCTGCATTGAGTTTAGGAATATGAAATGGGTAAGAGAATCAATTTCAGCGCTGTATTTGATGATGTTCATGTTTGTTGGGTAATGTTACACGTCTTTTGCATCTATATACACGTCTTTCCCTTCAGGCCCCTCCTCTTTCACGCTCAATCCTTCTCAACCAATCACAGCTGGCTTTGTTTTCCTTTCTCTCTCTTGACACACTGATTAGGGAGCAGGTCGTTAGGAACACAGTTGTAAAATTGATCATGAAGCTTGCAGGCCTTGACTGTAGGGTTAGGTGTTGGTAGTCTTAATGTATTGTTTGTTAAACATTTCTTTGTTTTGTGTTTTTTTTCTTCCAAATTTTCACTGACTGTGACAGTTTTAGTGGCAAGAATTGTACCGATAAATGTGTACAGAAATAATTATCTGAGTAAAAAGATTTTACATGAAGAAGAAAACATCCATTTATAAAGATGACTGGATTTGATGTTGAAAGCAATGTGCAAAATTTACAAAATAAAGAATATTTATTAATATGCATCAGATTTGAATGTATTTTCTGTGTGTAATTGGAGTTTTAAAATTAGAATCGTGTGTCTTTTGAGTGTTTGTATTGTTGTGTAGGTTTGTAAATATTCTATTTGGTTATCATATAAAATGACTTAAGTTCACAGAAAGGTTGCTAAAACAATTTTTTTTTTTTACACTTCTAACCTTGTATTTTCATCATACGCTTTGTTAAATGTTAAAACTATAGTCAGCCACTAGATGGTGTGTTTTGTTCTGATTTTTCCTCTTACCATAATAACTAGATAACTAAAACCATACAAAAATGTTTTTGAAATAAATATAAAAAAATATTTAAAAACTTGTTTTATTTCATGTAGTTGCCAAGGCAATATTTCTCATTTTCATTTAGTTTAATTGTATTCGCTAAAACTGAAATAAAAATTACAAAAAAAATCATAGACATATTTAAACAAATATTAAAATGACAAAAACAACATTTTTAGAACTTTAACAAAAATTACAATTAAGACAGGAAATTTAAAAACCAATTCGAACTATTAATAAAAACTATAAAAATATTTCAATGATACTAAAAAAAAATAATTTAATTTACAAAGTATTTATTTGATATTTATGCTTGGCTATATGTTTATTTTACTTGTCATACTTAGGTCCTCCGGCAACTTTAATTTATTATATAGTATTTTTTTATATAGTAGTTGTTGTTTTTTTGAGTGGTTTATGCAAACAAACTTTCTATACACACGTTCAATACAGCGTTCGTGTACAACAGTATCAATTTATGACTGGGAGGAAAAAAACGTACGGGCGGCGACAGCAACCTAAAGCTTGTTTTTGTTTGTTTTTTTCTTATCTCCGCCGCCGTTAATAATTAATCGCGGGTTCTGCGGGGATTGGATCCGTGTGTGTCGAGCTGTTCCTGGGTGTTAACGGCAGAAGATCAGGGAGGGCTGGAGTGATTTGTTCCCGCCTCAAACACGTTCCCCGATACCATTCTGAGTCAGAGATATTACCGCACTGGCGACACTGACACAAAGTAACAGCCGCGCGCAGTTGTGATACATTGTTTCAGTCCGGCGCGGCTTAGAACTCGTTGTTACATTGTGACATCGCGCCGAGCTGACTGTGATACATTGTATCTGCTGCGTCTGGTCTGATGATGGAGCGCTGGAAGGGGAGAGTCGCGCTGGTCACCGGAGCGTCTGTCGGGATCGGAGCGGCTGTGGCTCGCGCTCTCGTGCAGCACGGCATGAAGGTGGTCGGCTGCGCGCGGAACGTGGACAAGATCGAGGTAAGCGACGTTAAAACGAGCTCTTTGACAGATTGTGAGCGCTCAGAGGCCTCAGTGATGATCTAGCCCTAGCGCTACTTGTGTTAGCTCACTCAAGTCTTTCTCCAGAAACGCGCGACTTTCCCTCAGGAGACAGACAGGCAGGCAGTTTAGACTTTATTCAGAAGTTGGGTGTTCATTTGGAGAAATGACAGCTCAGCTGCAATCGACCTGTTACAGTGATTGATCGCGTGTGAAGTATTGATAGGTTTCGCCCCGCCCACTTTACACTACAATACAAAGTCACACAACTGTACATGCATTTCAATACGTATTTACATAATTTCATAAGCCTAGGCGAGTTTAAGGTTGTTTTTTGTTAGATTGTATAATTGTAAATGTACTGTTATTTGGTTTTAGGAATAGTTTCCCTCAAAATTAGCATTTTGTCAACGTTTTCTCACCTCCATGTCTTTCTAAACTCAAGCACAAGAGGAGGAGAATTCTGAAGAAGCGTCAGTCTTATGAAAACGAGTAGTATGATTCATATACTGAGATTCTTCAAAACATCTCCTCTTGTGTTCCACATAAGAAAGTCATATGGGTTTAGAAAATCATGACCAGCAGTAAATGACAATATTTTAAAGGGGTCATATGATGCGATTTCAAGTTTTCCTTTCTCTTTGGAGTGTGAAAAGCTGATTGTGCATAGATAAGATCCCTGAAGTTGCAAAGACTAAAGTCTCAAAACCAAAGAGATCCACCAAACTCTCACAGGTTGTGTATAGAAGAAACTGAACTTTTATATATATATATATATTATTATTTTTATTTTTTTATTGTTGTATTATAATAATTATATATTTTTAATTTTTTTATAAGAATATTTATGAAATACAAATATTATATGAAAATACATTTATTATATAATACTTTTTATTATAATATTTACATTTTTGTATATTATTATATTGTATATATTTAAATTTATTATATTATTAATTGTAACTTTTTATGCCAGTGATGGATAATTTTTTTTAAATGTATTTAAACACCCTTTTCACATATGATAATATTCACAATGCTTACATGGGGGCTGTAGGTTTACTGTCCGAACAAGTGCAGTTTATTATTACATTGTGCCAGATTCATAAAACAATGAATAGCTATGAATAGCTACTGAAAAGTGCCGCTGTAAAGATAATTGTGGAAGTTCATAATGACACATTATTGCAGCTTAGATTCAGTGAACTGTCTTTTTTTGCAAGCAAGCAGGTTATGAGTTACAGTATGTTTTTATATTAAGATTTATTTCTAAAGACATGAGCAAGTTTGATTCCTCATAATAAATATTTTTTGTTTTTTAACTACATACTTTTTTCCATTGCTGTTTCATAGAGATTGAATTCAAGTGTTTCAGCTCTTTGTGTGTCTGTACAGTGCAGTCCATTCATAACATGTGTGTTTGCAAAATATTATGATGGACAAAGGTTGAAAGTTATGACATGGTAAAAGCTCCTCAGATTTACTGCAGCACTTTAAAGCTTTGATTTTCTCGATTAGTAAATGTTTCATTCCTGGAAATGCCTTTTTTTCACTCTCTTGTGTCATTTTGACAATCTGTCTGTGTGCGTACATGTGAACCATCATTGAAGAGGCTCTTTGCAGGTTTATCAACAACAAAGATACAGTAAGTGGTTACTTTATGAGATCCGTATCTGCATAGTGAAACGTGAGACAAGGCGAGCTTTGTGTCCATCTGATCACAAGGCACCACTGTAATTGTGTCAAAGGCTGTGCTTATGTGTGTGTGTGTGTGTGTGTTTGGGACTGTCCCTCAAGAATATAAACATTCACACACAGCAGCCCGATGCTCTGAGTGGATGTAAAGCACTAGCGTTGTCACCATAGTCAAATTTGACACCAATCCCAGTGAAATCTCACCAGTGCATTTGCCTGTTGAACGCTATTAATATAGTTGAGCTTCGCAGCCCTGCTTTTGTATTCCAACTAAACAGAGAGACTGGGAAAATCAATTAGAGAAGTTTGGGAACAGGATAGTGATGAACAAACTGTGGGAGTAATAATGTGGTCTCTATGGGAGACAGGATGGAATGGGAAGCAGGGTCTTCATTGGCAGCATCCGTTACAGCAGATTCCCATTTCTGTTCCTGGATCAGTTTTTCCCATGGCAACCTTTTGAGCTGATGGATCACTGATCTATAGACACACCAAACTACATGATGAGATCTTTTAGCATCTTTTGTTCGGTTTCTGTGTAAGGCCTTTGGACAACCTGGAGTTGAATTAGAATTTTTATAATAATAATTATGTATGAATTTTTTTATATTGTTTGTTTATTTTCATATTGTTTATTGCATTAAATTAATTTCATTAATTAAATAAACTTATTTTAATGATTGTATTTTATATACTTTCATTTTATTATATATAGTGTATGCAAGCTGTCTCTCTCTCTCTCTCTCTCTCTCTATATATATATATATATATATACACACACGCATACATACAGTGTTGTAAAAAGGTTTTTGTTTTAATTCAGCCACACTGGAGGGTTTTCGAGTCTGAATGGACTGTTTAAGGTCATGCCACAGCATCTCAAATCGGATTTAAGTCTGGACTTTGACTTGGCCGCTCCAAAACCTTCATTTTGTTTTTCTTCAGCCATTCAGAGGTGGACTTGCTGGTGTGTTTGGGATCATTGTCCTGCTGCATAACCCAAGTGCGCTTGAGCTTGAGGTCACAAACTGACGGCCGGATATTCTCCTTCAGGATTTTCTGATAGAGAGCGGAATTCATGCTTCCATCAATAATGGCAAGTCGTCCAGGTCCTAAAGCCCATCACACTACCACCACCATGTTTGACTGTTGGTATGATGTTCTTTTTAATATATATATATATATATACTTTAAAACTTCTACATTTAAATCAGTTTGTTATTTATTTGCTCTTTCTGTAATCTGCTGTTTCTTGTAGTCCAACTTTTTAGTGTATTTTGGTGTAATATTGCATACAGTGCATAAAATTTATTATATATAATATAATTTTTTTACCGATTTGTCAGTTTTCATGCATTAACAAATAGATTGCCTCATGGCCATAATTAATTAATTAATTTGTTTGTTTGTTTGTTTATTTTGATCTGAAATATTGATTGAGTGATTGCAGAAAGATTAAATTTCAGATTTGTTACAAAAGTTTGTTACTTCTAACACTGTTGGCCATAATAACGAGGAAGGGATATTAGAACGTCTGTTTGTTTAAGATATAAATAAATATAAATGATTTGTTATTTACATTTTGTCTGTCTGCTTAAAGTACTCTAGCATGTAGATGGTCTCCGGGCAATAATTGAAACTTTTTTTTTTTTATCACAGCGAAGTGCATCCACATTGCTAATATGTAGGGTTGCAAAGGGGCTGAAAATTTCCAGTAGCCTAAATGTCCAGAAACTTTGCAACAATTTCTGAAAGTTTTCAAAATTTCTGGAATGTTTCTGAAATTTACCTTTGCAACCCTACTAACATGTTTTGCTGTTTACCTATCCATGTTGTTTGTATGAAACAGACACTAATATGATCAAAACATGTCATCCTAGAAACACTAGGCCTAATTAAATGTCACCGTTTCAGTCAATTATTCCAGCCCTCCAAAACTATTTCAGCCAAAACCGATTTTTATTAATTTTTTATTTTTGACATTTCCGCTGATTATTTTTGGTTGCTGAAATTTTAGTGCATATTTCATATTTCTTCATATTTCTAAACATGATCCATTCGTACTACAGCTTTCCAAAAGAAAGGAAATAACATTTTACACGATCTTTGGCTGATTTGCTCAAAAAAAAAAAGATTTCTTTTTTTTTTTTTTTTTTTTTAAGTAATGCATTTTTGTTACTTCCAAAATATGTTACTCTCAACACTGTTAGCCATAACAACATCAAACTCTGATTAATGCCATTTTTAACACCACTATACAAAGCTGCAGGACTACAGAGGATGGATTGGCGTACAGTAGTACAGTAGTTGCACTACAGCCCTGTCCAGTCAGACAACAGTCTGTTCCAGTAATACTACAACTCCCTCCACCCATACTGCTGTGAAAGCTCACGCTCATGTTGCAGCACTGAGTGCTGGACGAGGCTCTGTGTCTTTGATTGGATTGATCTTTATCGCTTAATGTGAGATGTTTGATGCTCCAACATCTTAATCACTTTCCTTCAGCAGTTTTCAGTTGGGTGTTACATTACATCTTTTCATACAAATTTTCAAGATCTTAATTTAGGCTGAATCTTCAGTGTTGGCGAGTGTGTTGTTCACTTGTCCTTTAAGCTCAATCTATTCCTAGAAAACAAGTGGTGCGTGACACAGTGCATGCAGGCCCTCCGCTGGTGTCATGATCTTTTCATCATGCATGGAATCAGTAAACTGGAATATTCCACTGACCTTAGCAGCACTGAGTGATTGGTTGGGTTCATGTGATCAGGGCTGCTCAAGGCTGATTGGGATGAACTTTCAGTGGCTTCTCAACTCAACACAGCACTGCACATTTTGTATGTCTGCCTTATCTACACACCTGATTCAAATCAGCTCGTTAGCAGAAAGCTGCAAGAACCCAACTTGTTCTATTAGATAGGAGAGACTGGATGTTTGCTGAAAATTAGTTTTCATAATGGGAACAGTTTTGGAGAAATGTAGCATTCCATCACTTGCTCAGCAATGGATGCTCTGCAGTGAATGGGTGCCGTCAGAATGAGAGTCCAAACAGCTGATAAAAACATCACAATAATCCACACCACTCCAGTCCATCAGTGAACATCTGGAGAAGTGAAAAGCTGCGTGTTTGTTAGAAACAAATAGATCATTAAGGCGTTTTAACTTTAAAATGTCTCTTCTGGCCAAACTAGAGACCATAATCCATAACGTTTTCTCTAGTGAAAAAGCCATCTCCTGTTCTCTCTCACATCAAAATCCAGCCACATACATTTGTTTAGAGCTGT